AAAGAAACCATTAAAATGTTTAGAATTCATCGGTGGTAAAAGATTTTTCAAACAACAACAACAACAACAAAAAAAACCACGAGTTACAAAAGACAGTATCTACCTTCGTGCTCCAGGGCTCAAACCTGCCGCAGTGGCCAGCGATCAGAGCCCCCTTTCTGTTAATCAGCCTTCTCCAAGCCGCGGTCCACAGCGCCCTCTAGTGGGCTCTGAACGACAGCACCAGGATAGCTTCTGTTCATGGCCTCCTGCAGCCCCACCCCAAGACTCAGCCACAGGAGCACAGGTGGAGCTGGAAGCATCATCAAAAACCTCACTTCACTGTGTAAAACTGGGACCTAGCTAGGGGGCAGGATTTGCACAAGATCTCACCGAGTCTGTTGCAGAGCCGGGCCAACCAGTGTTCTTTCCATTACATGATATTACATAATCGAATACTCAGAAGCATCACAACGCTTTGGTAAGCAGGGACTTGTGGCTCATGGGTGAACATAGACATGAGCTAAGCTTGTTTCATATTTTCACTGAAATCCTCCACTCGTGGGTGTGGTCTTTGGGTGTAAGACCCTTTGTGGGCTACCTCGCCTAAGTCTATGAACTTCTGTGCCTCCAACACGGGAACTCCTTCCTCCCTCAGGGCCTTTGCACTGCCTGTTCCCTTTGCCTGGAATGCTCCTGCACCAAACTGCCTCTTGGCTCATACACCCTCCTCATATCATCCAGCTCTCACAGAGGCATTCCCTGACTATCCTACCTCAGGGATAGTCCCTACCTCAGGACTATCCTACCCCAGTGTCTAAAATACCTTGTTTATATCCTTCATAGCCCTGTTCACACCTGACATCATCGTGGTGAGTTGTTTGAGGTCTGCCTTCCTCTCTAGAACAATGGCTGTTGGGAATTTATTCTGGACCTAGCAGAGGCCCTGGGCACTGAGCGGGTGCTTGACGAATACACAGGGAACGATGGACTGGAGAATGGCGCAGGACAAGGAATTAGCCAGAGACCACATTAGAGAAAAGTCTGGAGGTTTACTCAACAACAGTCACAGTCACAGTTGTACATGGTAAGTCAGGTCTTCACAAAGGCTCACTTTTCCAGGCAGGAGATGAGACGTTGGCGGTCTCGAGCTTTCTCTATGGAATCCCAGGCCTGACTTCTCAAGTATTCCTTGCTTGTAATCCCTTTGGGATCCACCTTCAGGCCTGTAACAGAGCAGGACCCTGACCTTGTTGGCTGGCATGGCTGAATCAAAGCCATTTTGGGAGTGGATGTTAAGAGGACCTTGTCGCTTGGAATGTAGGTCCAACTCCCACCCCAAAGGTGACAGTGGGCCTTGGCTCAAGATCAAGTTTGAACAAACACATTACTTGGATTTTCACAAAAATGCATCAGTTGAAAGCAGAAAAGAATTCCAGGACAGAACTCACACCTTGCCCTTCTCCCACACTTAGAAATCTTCAGAAAACTTAATTAAAAATGCATTGCCTTCTAAGAACTACAAAGGATCACCCAATCTGTGCAAACAAGGGATCCCTGAAGCAAGGAGTCCACAGATTTCTCAGTTACTGCTGTAAAGTACTTCGCCACTCTTTTGAAACTTCGGAGACGAAAAGTAGAGATGCAAAGAAAGAAATATGGCGCCATCTTCAAGGACATCACCTCTTTCTTAAGGAGAAAAAGAAATTCAGCAGGTGGCGAATATAATGTGGACTTTGGGAATCCAACAAGAACTGCTCTTTCTCCCCAGGTCCTAAGGTCGTATCTCCCATTAGATCCCTTTTGTGGATGTACTCCCTTCTGCCTCTGAGCTATTTCTTCCAAAAATAGGGAACTGATAGCTCCTGGACTGTTTTAAAAGTTGAAAGCTCCAACTGGAAGCACAAGGTGGAATGGCTTTTCCCACGTGTGCCTGCACACTTAGCCGCCTCCTCCAAGGCCTTGTACTGACAGTGAAGATGCTCTTTGCATTCCAAAATGTTCCTGGAGTCCCCCCTTGGAAAGGCTGCTGGTGGGCCACACAGGCATGATACTTTCTAGCCACACCCTGTTTTGCGACCCCATGCTCAGAAGAAAGGCTCTAAAGGAAAAAGGGTCCACATTCTTACACATTACCTGGCTGACAGCACCTCCAAAGGCTCCTGGCTGTTTGAGCATCAGCCAGGGTGGAGCAGGGACCTGGATCCTTGAGCTAGGTGGTTTTCCAAAATGAAGACAAAACAATGGGTGGCTAGTATGTGCGATCAGTTGGCCAGTTAACAAATGGACTTCTCTCCTTTCTTCCTTGATTACAGGCTATGTCAAGTCTTGGCACCTACAGATGTGGGCTCAGCAATTACAAATGCCAGAGTGCTCAGAGGACCTGCCCATCCCTTGTTGAGGGTGCAAAAGCAGACTCAAAAGGAGAACCAAAGGATGGAAAAGAGGACGACTGAGGACTGCTTGCCGCTGCTCCTGCTTCCCACATGCGTCCTATCACCCACTTGGAGTGGGACCATTTGGAAACCTAGCCAGTGCTCCACCCTCCACCTGGACGTGGGATTGGGGGCTGCAGGCGTGGCTTCCAAACAGGGCCCTCTCCCAGGGGCTGCTGAGGCCCTTCTTGGCCACAGATTAAATGAGCCATGCAGTTACCCTTTAAATTTGGGGTGTTATTTGCATAAAATGGAATAACTTCTGGCCCCTGGCCCTTGGGAGGCATTGCTGTCTCAGATCCTGCTCTAGGCCCAACGCCTCCAGCTTGAAATTAGACATTAAGAAACACACACTCATCCAACAGGAACTGCACACACCACCAAAAATGTTTCCCCTCCCCCCAACCCCGCCCCTTTATGTCTAGCAAGGCACTAGGAAATGATTCAAGTTTAGGGATTGGCTGTACATTTGCATTTTTTCTTTTTAAAAGGCACAGTTTGTATTTTAATGATGCTGAATTACTCTCTGATGATGAATCCTAACTCAGTTCTCCCAAATTGCGACACTCTTGTTATCCTAGATTCTGAAAGGGGTCTCATCTTCGACTCCTTCCTACAGAGGGCCACTTCTAAAGATATAGCACTCCCTTGGAAAAGACACCAGGGATGGACAAGCAGGCTTTGTAAGCACGGGGCTGCCTCTCCTGCGGGCAGGTGGCTAGAGCAGGGCTTGTGCTGAGGCAGAAGTGGAAGTGACACTTTGCCCACTGCACGCTTAATCGGGGTGGTGGTGGCCGGGAATGTTTACTTCCCTCCCCAGATAATTGACAGCCTTGAGATCAGCCAGCATCTCAAAGGCAGACTCGTGGCTCTGCTCCCAGATTTATGTCTGTTATTTCATTGGTAAATAACACAATCGAGAGGCTCGACTCTAATTGGAATACTGATTCAAGGACTTCCTGGGCTAGCTGGCAGAAGCCGTGGGCTGTAGACTGCGATTTCCATTTCTGAATCAGTGGGTGGCAGGCTGGTTACAGAAACACTTCCTATTAGTTTGGGAGCCCTCTGGGAGGCTGACACATAATTAACAAAGCAAAAGGTAAACACAAAGGATCGGCATGGAGCTAGGTACACGTCTGTTCATGGGACACTGGGATCTGTTCTCCACTGCAGGTGTGACCATGGTGGCAGGTTGGCAGGGCTTCAGGTCTGGGCTGAGGACCGTGTCACATCAAGGCCTCCGGTATGAGCTGATGGACACAGGTCCTCTGCCCCCTCCCCCAGCACCACCAAGGTTGGACTTCACAGACTGTCTCTAGGCTGGGGGCTGCCTTGAATGTTTTACACTTGGCTGGCTAATCACAGCATCCTAGAAATCCATATTGGATGCTAGAATACCCGAATCCTATGTGGCATTTTAGTTTGTGATCACAGTACAGAGTTCTTTAAAAATTCTAGAATTCCATATGAGAACCAGAACCACAATGAGTCAGAGGCTAGGCATCGTGCCCACAGTCCACCCTGGAGGCCTCCGGACCTCACACCTCTGTTCCTCTCCTGAGGCAGGCAATTGGCCGAGAGAGAGAGAGAGAGAGAGAGAGAGAGAGAGAGAGAGAGAGAGAGAGAGAGAGAGCGCGCGCGAGCGGGGGGGGGGGGGGGGGGGGG